TGGCGGCTGCTCCAGGGGCGGCTGCTGCAGTGGCGGCTGCTCCAGGGGCGGCTGCTGCAGTGGCGGCTGCTCCAGGGGCGGCTCGGCTGCTGGGCGACTCGGCGGCTCAGCTGCTCGGCGGCTCGGCGGCTCGGCTGCTCGCTAGGGGCGGCGACGGGGCCGGGTAGGGGCAGCGACGGGGCCGCTAGGGGCGGGGAGCGGCGACGGGGCCGCTAGGGGCGGCGACGGGGCCGCGTAGGGGCGGCTACGAGGCCGCGTAGGGGCGGCGACGGGGCCGCGTAGGGAGGGAAGCGGCGACGGGGCCGCTAGGGGCGGCGACGGGGCCGCGTAGGGGCGGCTACGAGGCCGCGTAGGGGCGGCGACAGGGCCGCGTAGGGAGGGAGGCGGCGACGGGGCCGCTAGGGGCGGCGACGGGGCCGCGTAGGGGCGGCGACAGGGCCGCGTAGGGAGGGAGGAGGCGACGGGGCCGTTAGGGGCGGCGACGGGGCCGCGTAGGGGCGGCGACGGGGCCGCTAGGGGCGGCGACGGGGCCGCGTAGGGGCGGCGACGGGGCCGCGTAGGGAGGGGAGCGGCGACGGGGCCGCTAGGGGCGGCGACGGGGCCGCGTAAGGGCGGCGACGGGGCCGCGTAGGGGCGGCTACGGGGCCGCGTAGGGAGGGGAGCGGCGACGGGGCCGCTAGGGGCGGCGACGGGGCCGCTAGGGGCGGCAACGGGGCCGCGTAGGGGCGGCGACGGGGCCGCGTAGGGGCGGCGACGGGGCCGCGTAGGGAGGGGAGCGGCTACGGGGCCGCTAGGGGCGGCGACGGGGCCGCGTAGGGGCGGCGACGGGGCCGCTAGGGGCGGCGACGGGGCCGCGTAGGGGCGGCAACGGGGCCGCGTAGGGAGGGAGGCGGCAACGGGGCCGCTAAGGGCGGCGACAGGGCCGCTAGGGGCGGCTACGGGGCCGCGTAGGGGCGGCAATGGGGCCGCTAGGGGCCGCAAGGGGCCTGGAAGGGCGGCAACGGGGCCGCTAGGGGCGGCGACGGGGCCGCTAAGGGTGGCGCGAGGGGCCGTGAGAGGGGCCTCTAAGAGAGCTCGACAGAAGGGCGGCCCACAAGGCGCGCCTCGGGCAGGAGCGACTGTCGCTCCGGTCAGAAAAAAAAGGTTTCAGTGGTGGGCCCAAGGAAGCGTTCCCACTAGGGAACCTGCTCTATACCATGTGAAGAAATGAGGAATGGAATGACTAAGGGAAAGTTGGGTACAAAAGCAAACCCTAGAAAACTGTACCCCATATGTGCTACCCCACTATAGCCTACAGTAGCTATGTCATATAAATCTGACAGTGGGGTGCTGTTGGCGGGAACAGTAGCGTACGCTCTGAGGAGGGATGCGAAGTAAGGAAAAGGAAATTTCCTTACAATATGGGTAGAATCCGTGGCAATAGTGTAATACGAGGCCTGGGGAATCTCGTGATTTGTCACCATCGTTCACTTGAGTCACATACGCATTTCCACCACGAAGGCACCGCAATCTCTGGCGTGATAACCGCGTCGCGCTTACATTTTGCTTTCTGCCTTAGACCCCCTTTCATCTCTTCACCAAAAACTGATACTTCATAACCAGATCAGTCTACTCGGTGAGGAGCACAACCTTAGTGTAGTCTGACAAGCTTTGGCGATGGAATTGCGCGTGAATGATCTCTTCTGACAAGGTTTGGCGACGGGAAAACGCATTTCGGACTTCGTTTCCCGAACAAGTTTGGTTGTCGCCGTTCCGAGGCATCGCCCACAGTCGCATAACGTCGTGATGCGGTCGCTTGTTAGGTAGTCACTTGTTCATATCAGCCTGATATGGCTAAGCTTTCAAGCTTATGAAAGTTGGTTTGGAAAGATATCGTGATTGGCAGGCGAGAATGGACTGCGTCGAATTACCCTGACGAAACTCGCGACAAAAGGTCCCCTCGCCTGCTGTGTACCCCGTTTTTGTGACCCTGTCGCACACTCGTCGCCTACGATTTCCCAAATTTGTTGGACCTTGGATGAGCACTCAAATCAAAGTAGGGTACCGAGTTCAACACCACGTAAAATTCCTCCTATAGGACTTAGGCTTTCTCTTCGTAACCTACCTGCAACCGCAGCGTGTCTAACACTTCTGCAATGCGCGCAACTGAGAGCAGAGCGACGGTCGACAGTCTCGTGGAGCAAGGACGGGCTACTCAATCGCACGGCACGGAAGGCCGCGATAACGCCATAGCTAGTAAACGTGAGTGCACTCAATGCGAGTCATTCCACATCCGACCTGTCGCTATCATGCGGGATGGCGAGGCGCTAGCCAGATCTCGCACGCGGGATCCGCCTACGCCCCAACTTTCATGGGGCGCATTCAGCCTTGGCGACGCGTCATGTCGCCAGATGTCTTATCGCTCGATCCAGCATCGCGAATGCGGCCTCAGACATGAGATCTCCTGATAAGGACGTTCCGATGGTCACACAACCTTTCCCCCACGCCAACCCTCCGTTCTCCCCACGCCAACCCTCCATTCTCCCCACGCCAACCCTCCGTTCTCCCCACGCTAACCCTCCCTTTCCCCCACGCTAACCCTCCCTTACCCCCACGCTAACCCTCCTCTCTCCCCACGCTAACCCTCCTTTCTCTCCACGCCAACCCTCCTTTCTCCCCATGCTAACCCTCCCTTTCCCCCACGCCAACACTCCCTTTACCCCACGCTAACCCTCCCTTCCTCCCCCGTGCTGCCCCTGTCATTATCCCTTCCCCGTGCTCCCCTTCCCCTTGTCCTTGCTCCGCCTCCCCACCTCGTGCGACCCGCCGCATCCACCCTGGCTCGTGCTCCCCCTCTCATTCCGTCAGGCTGCCCCATCCCCACTTTCCTGTTCCCCTTTCCCCACAATCCCGCCACCCGTCCACTACTATGCCATACCCCCCATACCCAATGTCCCACTCCTCGTGCTCAAGCTGTTCCACACTCTATTCCCTCTCATTCACACCACTTTCCATGAACTGCCGTGCTCTTCCTCCATCCGTCATCCCCCACTCGTCCCTCAGTTCCTTCCACAACTTCCTTCCATCAGTTTTGAACAGCGCACCTCTGCTGTTCCATGATTCAGTCTCAAATTGAACTCACTGGCTGCAACCCTCGCCCCCCACGCCCCTCAGCAGGTGTGGACCGAGCACTCGCAACCACAGGCGTCGAGATTAGTGCACCAGTCGCTGCACCACGACGGCGCCTACCGCCTAGGAGTGTAGCCAATGTAGGCAGCCGATCGCGCGGTGCTTTACCTGTCCAGCTGAATTGACTGTCTTGCTGAGAATCGGCCGTTTGAGTGAAAATTGACTGCGGCAACACTGCCAGATCAACGAAGACTTCACAGCTGCCTCCGTTTGCGTCAGCAGCAATGACGAGAAAACTATCGATCGAGTCCGTGCTTCAACCGCCCAAGTCCGCCCCGTCAGCTCCAGCAGCCGTCTCGCTAGACGCCCATCCGTCAGATTCACGCCTTTTGGCCGTCAGTTACGACACCGCTAATACGTCTTCCGTACAAATTCCGTCGGCCCGTCCGCCGCCTCCGTTAATTGACGGATCCCGCCTGAACGTCGTCAATGCGCAGGATTCCACCCAGTCGAGTAGACTTTCCGTCACTTCAGACATTCGATGTGGCGTTACCCTATATAGTGACAGAGACGATCGTGACGGTAACGGATGTGTGGCCGTGTGGACGAGGGAGCGGCCGTTATCCCCGTTAGAATCGCTGTCGTTTAGAGGCTCTCGAGTTAGTACAATTCTATGGGTGCCCGACGACCTGAATCTGCTACTAGGGGGGACTCGGAGCGGACACGTGGCAGTCTGGGATTTGCGGGTGGGAAGAGAGCCATGCCAGGTGGGACCGGGAAAGGCGGCGTGGAGAGCGGTGGATGGCAGGAGAGTGACGTCATTGGCGGCAGGGGGAGGGGGGTCAAGAGGAGAAGCAAGGGGGGGCGGAAGGGGAGGAGCAGCGGGAGGAGGAGGGGGAGGGGGTGGTGTGGGGGCAGGAGGGGCGGGGGAGAGGGGCGGGGAGGAGGTGCTGAGTGGCAGTGCGGGGGGAAGGGTGATGAGATGGAGCAGACGAATGATGGGCATGGTGAGTGCTCGTGTGTCATCCGAGGGGGGATGGGCTCGTGTGATTAGAGTGGGGGTGGGTTCTTGTGAGTCTTCTCTCAACCCCTCTCCTTTTACTTCTTCTCCCTCTTCTCCGCCCCAGTAACCCCACCCCCCCTCCCCCCCCCCCCCCCCCCCCCCCCTTACTCTCCTTTTCCTTCTCCTCCCTCTTCTCACTAAAACCCCCCCCCCCTCCCCCCTTACTCTCCTTTTTCTTCGCCATTCCTCTCCCCGCCTCCCGGCTCCTCTTCTCATTTCTTCTCCCACGCCCTGTCCAACAGCCCTTGGAGGTCATTCCCCTGACCCCACCTGGCGTTTCACCTGACAGCTGGCGCATGCTGACACAATGGCCCCTGGTGCCCTCGGAGCTGCAGATGGGGACAACACCGGTGTGGGGAACACCTGGAAATGCACGTGAAGAAGGACCTGGGGGAGCACCTGCGCTTTCACCTGGGATTTCACCTGGAGTGTTTTACATGGGCACTGACTGTGGTGGCGTGTTTCAAGGGCATCTCTCCCCATCCGCCCTCACCGCCTCTACTCCTACCCCCCCCTCCTCCTGCTTATCTCCCAGCCAATCACGACTTGACTTTCAATTTGGCTCCTCTTCGCCCTCCGCCCCTGCCACCTCAGCTGCCACGTCATCTGCTGTGTCAGCATCTGCATTCGGTTGCGGGTCCGTGGCCCCCAGCCAAGCAGGGTTACCTGCAACACAAGAATCACAGCCAGGTAAGCAGGCGCATTTGTAACAGTGTAATTCTACCAGCTCCCAGTTCCGCAGCCACTGTAATGAGCAACTTGTTAAACGAATTCTTAAACCTGACCCGGATCTCAAAGCCCTAAACCTGGTGCGTTCCTCCTATCCCGTATGCCTGCCTCCAGTCTCTTGTCACAGCTCCCTCCATTCTTCGCCTGTAGCATTGTCATACCCCCCCCATGCACTGCCATACCCCCGCATGCACTCCCATACCCTCTTTGCCCTGCTGCCATACCCTCTTTGCCCTGCTGCCATACCCTCTTTGCCCTGCTGCCATACCCCCATTGCCCTGCTGCCATACCCTCTTTGCCCTGCTGCCATACCCTCTTTGCCCTGCTGCCATACCCTCTTTGCCCTGCTGCCATACCCCCCTTGCCCTGCTGCCATACCCCCCTTGCCCTGCTGCCATACCCCCCTTGCCCTGCTGCCATACCCCCCTTGCCCTGCTGCCATATTCTGGCCTCTCTGCAACCGCTCTCCTGGTCCCCATACCTTCCACTTTCACATTCTCTTGCCCCTTCCTGTTCCCCCAGTGCCCCCCCCCCATTCTCCCCTTCCCTGTCCCCCCAATACCCCGCCATTCTCCCATTCCCTGTCCCCCCAGTGCCCCCCCATTCCCCCCTTCCCTGTCCCCCCAGTGCCCCGCCCATTCTCCCCTTCCCTGTCCCCCCAGTGCCCCCCCATTCCCCCCTTCCTCATCTGTATTGTATCGCAGCACCTGCATGTGCATCCACCTTGCACTCATCTCCCTCATGCCCACCTTGCAATCATCTCCCTCATGCCCACCTTGCACTCATCTCCCTCATGCCCACCTTGCTCTACGCCCCAGGGGCCTCTCCACTTCCATTCGAATTTTCTCTCAACCACTCACCCCACGCACTTCCTTCCTACATGCCCTTTCTCCCGTACGCCCTTTCTCCCGTACGCCCTTTCTCCTCGCATCCCTCAGTCCCCCATCACCGCACAGCACCTTTATGTCTCTTTCCACTACCACCCATGAACCCCCTTCCTCCCCTTCCACCCTGCCCTCAACCATTCACCCCATCCACGCCCCTCCCTACGCCACCTCCTTCGCAACCCTCACCCTCCCATCAGAGCGCCTTCATTTCTTACCAACACTGCCTCCCATGCACGGCCCTCCGCTCCCACTCTCAGCCTCGTGCACGCCCCTGTCTGCCTTCCGTCCTCCCATCCCTCAGCCTCTCATCACCATGCCTTCATAGCTGACCTGCAGCTGCTGCTGTGGCACACTGCCATCCGTGCTGTGGCACACTGCCATCCGTGCTCCATCCCATCCCTCCCTCTCGTCCCACCTTTCCAGCAACAATTCACCCTATCCACGCCCCGTGCACCATTTTCTCTTCCTTTCTCCCGTCCGTCCCACAGCCATCCACCACAGCGTCTTCATGTGCTGCCTGCACTGCCACCTGTGTGCCTCCATCCTCCCACCGTGCCTCAACCATTTACCCTATGCACGCTCCTCCCTACCCACCCTCCCCGCACTACCCCTGTGCCTCCCACCTCTCAGCCCTTCATCACAGTGCCTTCATATCCGGCCTGCACTGCCACCCATGCACCGCCCTCCTCTCATCCGACCCGCCTCTTTGGCTCACGTCCCTCGGCAGCCCTGACTGCCACAGCAGGCATGCCACCGGGTGCCACAGCGGCAGCTGCAGCACCCACAGCAGCGGCAGCACACACAGCAGCACAAGCAGCAGAAGCAGTGGTTCTGAGGACTTATTTTTTAGGAGGGGAGATGTGGTGGAGGAGTGGCACGGCATGGATCTAACATGCCATCCCATGGTTTCACGGACTCACCATGACAGATCCACCATGCCATACGCCAGTGGTGCTGCTGCCATGCCATGGCATGGTGATTTGATTCTCTCCACCTCCTGGGACATGACTGTCAAGCTGTGGTCGTCAGCCATTCCATTTAGGTAAGCCAGACGATGATAGATTCGTCTTGAGTTGTCTCCAAGGATTTCATGCCGTGGCATGGCGATCTCATTCTCTCCAGCTCTTGGGATATGACCGTCAAGCTGTGGTCATCAGCCGTCCCACACAGGTGAGCCAGATGGATCGTTCTGCACCATTCCCCTTGTGGCGTACGCCAATGACGCTGCCATGCCATGAGTCCATGACATGCCATGACATGGCGATCTCATTCTTTCCACCTCCTGGGATATGACCGTCAAGCTCTGGTCATTTACCTACCAACCCACACCGGTAAGCTAGATCGGTCGTCCTGAGCAACTCCATTCCTTTCATGGGAATCCTCATGCCTTGTACCTTATGAGTGTACGCTAGCAGTGTCCCTCAAGCTACTTCACCTTCCCTCCCCACCCACCCCTTCCTCTCTTCCCCTGCCTGTTACACTCTGCTAGGATCGTGGTGCTCTGCAAGAGCACCTGCTGTGCCCCTATCCCCCTGATCACTACAATGTCACTCCTGTGCATTCCTTGAATTTCAAGTCACCTTGCTAGGACCGTGGTGCTCTGCAAGAGTACCTGCTGTGCCCCTATCCCCGTGATCACTGCAATGTCTTTTTTTCACAATCCTGATAACTTTTAAGTAGACTCAAAAGTTACCTGCTGTGCCCCTATCCCCCTGATAACCACAATGTATTGTATTGACACTTCTGTGCATTCCTCGATCCCCCTTCTCACTCACCGCCCTGCAAAGCAGGCCGCTACTCACCCTCCAATCATTCGACGACACGTGTCACGATGTGCGCTGGTGCCCCTCCAGCCTCTCTCTTTTCGCCCTCTCTGTTGGCTCCGGGAGGACTCAGCTGTGGGACCTGGCCCGTAGCACCCGCTGTCCAGTCGCTACAGTGTCATCCACTGTGAATTCAACAGCAGGTGGGCCTGGTCCAGCGGCAATGACGACTGAGGGTGACTTTGAATCAGGAATATGTCATGATATACAGACGAGGACCTATTAAAATGGAATGAGGACCAGAGGGGAACCAAAACCTTCAAAAGATGCAGGGATGATCTCAAAGCCGGTTGGGCAAGGTGCAAAGCTGGGAAACTCAAGAAACCGTTTCTTGACGGATGCATGCAGCTGTGATGGAAATACGGCATCCTCGTTCGTATCAATCCTTCCACGAGAATTGATTCTTGGGTGTGCGTTTCAGCTGTCCCATTGCCAGGCATGAGCCCCGCACGATATCCAAAGCGCGGCCACGGCTCCTTCTTCTCCTCAAACCCGTACCGCTGCCCCTCCACCATGTACGCCCACCCAGAGCCCTCCGCCACCCGAACCAGGCGCTGAGGGTCGGGCTGGGGGAGGGTCCAAGCATTGGTGGGGTACTGGAAGGTGTTCTCGGCCTCGGCGTGCATGTGCCACACCCACACATCTGTGGCGTCCCGTGCTATGGGCTGCAGGTATGCAGGCGACGGCAGCAGGCGCGACAGGAAGGTAGCTGGGGGTGCACGGGGGAAGGTTGATTGGGGGGGTGCACGGGGGAAGGTTGATTGGGGGGTGTGACAGCATGCATGTAGAAAAGATGCAGTAAGGGGGGACGTTGTGGGCAGGGGGGTGTGGTTGTGCATGGCAGCGTGGTAAGCAGAACATGACGAATGTGCTTCGTACGTGTAGGAAGATGTGGTTAAGAATGCGTGCAGGAGTGGTGTGAGGAAAGACATTATGAGAGGAGCACTGACCCTCCCCAGATGGGTTGGAAGCGAACGGGGTGGCGGGGGTAGCCGGGGATGAGGGTGAGACGCGTCCACAGCAGACGAGAGCTGCATGAAGAAGAGGCAGATGGGATCAGAGCAGGGAGTGGGAGTGGAGAAGGCAGAGAAGGTTATGAGAGGGAGTTGAGCAGAATACGTGTTGGCACAGATGCTCATTACAAAAAGGCATGTTGTAGCATCCCTTACCCTTCTCCTCAATATCCCCTGCCTCCATTCCCCCCCTTCCTCCCCTCCTCCCCCCCCCATGCACTCTCCACATGACCCACGCCCCTGCCCTTCCTCCATCCCTTCATCTCGCACCCTTCCTCTGGCCATCCCACCCCGACCCACCCAGCGCACACCTGAAGGCGAAGCCAGCCATGTCGGAGCAGAAGGAGCGGTAGGCGCCGCCGCGCTTGCCCTTGGGAATGGACCACTCAAACGTCTCCCACCCCTCCACGCGCGCCACCCTGTCGCTGCCGCGCTGCACGAGGGGGCGCTCTAGAAAGGGGCGCGAGGGCTTGCTAGGGTTGAATGTTGCGTAGTCGGCTGAGAAGAGGAATCCCACCGGGAACACGCCCACCACCCTGATGGCTCGCAGCTCCTCAAACAGCTGGCGCCGGGCAGGAGGTGGCGGGGAGAAGAGGCAGACACGGGGCAGGAGATGGAGATGAGTACATGTGGTTTCGGTAAGACGGTCAGGCTGAGCTGGGACAACAACAGATGGTCGCATGCACAGGTAGTGCAGGAGCGGGGTGGCGGGAAGAAACAACGAGAGGAGGGGGGAGGGAAGGAGGGAGGGAGTGAGGGGTCACCATGCGGCACGCGGGGTCACCATGCGGCACGCGGGGTCACCATGCGGCACGCGGGGTCACCATGCGGCACGCGGGGTCACCATGCGGCACGCGGGGTCACCATGCGGCACGCGGGGTCACCATGCGGCACGCGGGGTCACCATGCGGCACGCGGGGTCACCATGCGGCACGCGGGGTCACCATGCGGCACGCGGGGTCACCATGCGGCACGTGGGGTCACCATGCGGCACGCGGGGTCACCATGCGGCACGCACTGCGCTGCCGTCTGCTCCAGCGCCTGCGCCGTCTCCTTCGTCTGTGTGGCGCGCCGTGGCAGGGTGGGCGGAGTAGAAAGAAGATGGTGCGCAGGTTACTTTCATGCTTCAATACACCCACTTACACGCACATACCTACAGAAACACACAACACACACGCACACACACAGACTTACACCAAACAAACAACACACATGCCCACATGCACACACACACACACACACACACACACACATACACACACACACAGCCACGCACATGACGCACACACAACCAACACACAAATACACGTGCACGCACCTTGTTGGCGCCCTCCACCACGATCCACAGCAGCGGGGGCGCAGCGGCGTGCAGGGTGTTGGTGAGGTGAGCGAGGTAGAGTGTCTGGTACGCACGCGCATACGTGGGCGTCACCACCATCACCAGCCGCTCCCCCACCAGCTCCCCCTCCGCCCCCTGCTCCCCAGCTCCATACACCGCCGCTGCCGCTGCCGCTGCCGCCGCCGCCGCTGCTGCTGCTGCTGCTGCTGCTGCTGCTGCTGCTGCTGCTGTTGCTGCTGCATCGCCAGGACCTGGTTCTGCAGGAGCAGTCACGGCAGCAGGTGTTCCTGCTGACCCGCCACCACCGCTGCCACCGCTCTCCCCTGTGCTTGTGGCGGCAAGGAGTGTGGGAGTGGGCGGAGTGGTAGCACGAGCAGGAGAGGGGAGTAGAGTAGCGACAGCAGGTGCAGCAGTGCCGCTGGTGGGCGCGGAGGAGGCGGAGGCGGAGGGAGAAGAGTGGCGAGGGAAGGGCATGGCCGTGTCAATGGTGGTGGCGCTGCTGGTTGCTCCGCCTGTTGCAGTGAGGGATGGCGGATACACAGGACGGCGAGGGAGAGGGCAGAGCACATGCGTGGTGAGCGTGGGACAAGCATACAGTGAGAGTGGCAAGAGTGACGTGAGGCATGGGGGAGGTGAGGGGCATGCTGGGTTGGAGAGGGACGCGAGCAGCAAGAGGTGACGCAAGAGGAAAGGGAGAAATGCGGGCGATCACGAGTGGAGAATATGGCAGGCAGAGAGGAGTGCAGGGGGATGACAATGGTCATGATGACCAACACTGCCATCCACGGGGAGTGAGTGCATGGGGGGTGCATGGGGGGTGCATGGGGGTGCATGGGGGTGCATGGGGGGTGCATGGGGGATGCATGGCACATGTAGGATACCATCAGAAGAATGTGAAGGAAGCATCGGGTTGTAAACGCCGATTTGCTTAGCATATACTACGTGCGGACTGTGGTTTCTTCCCGGGAAAATATGTCAATGGTAACTTACATGGGGCACTATAACGCGTACGGTAACGATTTCAACGCGTTTGGTAACTCGCTTAACGCATTTGGTAACTCGCTTAACATGTTTGGTAACTCGCTTAACGCATTTGGTAACTCAACACTAGCAGCCCATCACGCGAATGGTAATTACATGAAATTCCCGCCGAAATTGAGCCTGATTCTGGTTTTTCCCACTCGCGTCAGAATAAATTGACGAATCCTGAAGCAGAAACCTCTGACACACTCTCCGAAATTCTGACACAGCTTTCCGAAATTCGGACACACTTTCCGAAATCCTGACACACTTTCCGATTTTCAAGCTAATTGCAAAAACGTAAGTTTTGTAAAAACAGTTGTTCATACATAATTGATATTCTGGCGCTCTTTCCGCAAACTGTTTGTGATTTATTCTGTCGTACAGCCGGAGCAAACAAATCTATACCCCTTTCAGATGGCAAATAAATTTGAGGGCAACAACCCTTAACTCCTTGCGACCAGGCGTTTATGGTTCTTTATTTAAAACAAGAAACATGCAATTTTAAAGAGGTGTATTGTTCCCACATGCAAAAATTCTCCAACTTTGCAGTAATTATAAAAATTAAAAGCCTCGAGGTCCTTTCGGGAAATATTTTTTTATCGTTTTGCAAGTTCGCAACCATGCTATCAAAAAAATGATTTTAACATTTTGTGTACGAGCTACATATATGTATAAAACTGCTCTGAAACATTTCGGTCCGTGGTAATAGAACAAACGGGGTCCTTCAAATTCGCGGCGGGACTTGTTGAAAATGATAATACTGTGCGTAAAAGCTTTCAAACTCTATAAATTCCTCTTTGTCTGGATCATTTCGGCGGGAATTTCATGTAGTTACCATTCGCGTGATGGGCTGCTAGTGTAGAGTTACCAAATGCGTTCAGCGAGTTACCAAACGTGTTAAGCGAGTTACCAAACGCGTTAAGCGAGTTACCAAACGCGTTGAAATCGTTACCGTACGCGTTATAGTGCCCCATGTAAGTTACCATTGACATATTTTCCCTTTCTTCCCACCCCAATAAACGACCAGGGGTATTGCCCGATGTACGTTGAAAATAGAGGGGGGTCATTATCACCGTTTACGCGCGAAAATTGTGCTACAGTGACCTAGTGTGCATTGCCATACATTCCGATAAGTTGCCTAGTACCCCCACTTACGACCGAGTAGTATCGAGTTTTCGATTTCCACCTACCCTAGTTTACTTTGACATCCTGCGCATCAACCGTGGTTGGTGTCGCTTTACCATCGCGTCATCAGCCGAGGCGAAAAAAGAAGGGAGAATTTGTTACCAGTGTGTTACACGTAACAAATTCAGTTACCTCTAGTGTATTCGGAAACTTCTTCACTTATGATTTATATTTCTGGATTGTGCTAGTAACTTGGTAACATGATTTGTTACAGAGTTCAAATATAATATGGTTACGAATCAACCGGATGGTAATGTGAAGAAAGAAAACAGGAATGAATGAACTAGGAAAGTGTGTGATACAAATATGAAAGCTGTACCCCTTAGTGTCTACCCCACTACAGCCTACATAGGCTAAGGCATATACATCTGACACACCCCCATAGGCAAAGTGGGGGAGAACTAGGGGTCATAAGACCAGTCAAGCAAAGCAAAGCAAAGCAAAGCAAGCTCAGGGTGGATCACAACGTCACCACACAGTCTGAGCACAGGTTCAAAGGCCACAAGGCCAGTTCACATGCAAGTTCATATATAAAGGTAAACAAGCAAGTGCAGGTATATATAGATCACAGAACAAGCAAAGTCAAGAGGTAAGCAAGTGAGGCCAAGTAGGCAAGGGACCTAGCATAGTACAGAAGCGCTGATGATCACAAGGCTGAAGTGCCTTGGTAAAGATATCAGCAGTGTTGGCCTGAGAGGCCACGTAAGCAAGGCGCAGCTGGCCACGCTGCTGCAGCTCACGAGCAAGGAAGTAGCGAAGAGCAATGTGCTTCGTTCTGTGCTCCAGTCTGTGCTCCCGACACAAGGCCAGCATGGCCTTGTTGTCTACGTACAGAACTGGAGGAGAACGAGGCGGCTCTCCCAGGTCAGTCAGCAAGTAGGTGAGCCAGCGTAACTCCTGTGCAGCCATGGCCCCTGCGTAGATCTCAGCCTCACAGCTGGAGCTGAGAACAGAAGACGAGTGGGTAGACCGCCACGAAACAGAGCCGGAACCAAGGCTGAAGGTGTAACCCTGTGACGACCGCTGTGTAGCCAGGTCGTCCACCCAAGACGCGTCTGCGTGACCAGTGAGGACCACTGGACTCCGCCCTCCAAGCACTAGCCCCAAGCCCGAAGTACTGCATAAGTAGCGCAACACCCTCTTCGCTGCAGCCATGTGCTCTGGTCGGTGTCTCCCAGGAGCAACATAGCGCGCCAGAATGCTCAGAGGGTATGCTAGGTCAGGTCGAGTGCAGGTCATCAGGTACATGAGGCAGCCAACAAGCTCTGGGTACGGGCCACTCGGCTCTACGGACTCATCCGAAGGCAGAGCTGAGAGCGAGTGGCGAGTAGACAGAGGAGTGGCCTGAGGCGAGGAGTACGTGAAGTCGAAGCGCTGAAGGACCTGCTGCACCATGTGTGACTGAGTCAGGGTGATGGTGCGCCGTGCTCTGTCCCGGGTGATCTGCAAGCCAAGATAGCTGCGCAGTTCACCCAGGTCTGTGCACGTGTGTCTCTTCTGCAGCTCGGACTTCACGTGGGCGAGTCCAGCAGTGTCAGCTGTAGCAAACACCAAGTCGTCGACGTACACGAGGATGTAGAACGGCGGCAGTAAGGTGTCGGTGCGAAGAAACAGCGACGGGTCAGCAGTGGAAGGAGCAAACCCAAGAGCCGCAAGCGTAGTCCTCAGTGTGTCGTGCCACTCACGTGGCGCCTGGCGGAGACCGTAGACTGGCCGCCGGAGGCTCCACTGGGTACCAGGAGGAAACGACCCAGTGAAGCCAGGTGGGCGGCGCAGCCAGATCTCCTCGTGCAGACTGCCCTGTAGGAAAGCAGTGCTGAAGTCAAGGGAGTGAAGCTCGTAGTCACGCTGAGCAGCAACGTGCAGCAGAACCCGAAGAGTGGTCATCTTCGGGGTCGGGGAGAAGGTCTGAAAGTAGTCAACTCCCTGCCGCTGACAGAAGCCTCGAGCCACGTAACGCGCCTTGAAGACAGGCGGAGAACCCGGCGGCCGCTTCACCCTGAAGATCCACATGCCACTGACGATGTTCGCCCTAGGTGGGGGAACCTCGTCGACGTAGGTGCCTGTGGACTTCCAGGAAGCCATCTCTGCGTCCATGGCTGCCTGCCACTGAGAGGAGTAAGGACCTTCTATCGCCTCTGCGTAAGAGCGCGGGGTCGGGATGTCTGGTGCATCCGGGTCTCCCTCAGGGGCAAGCAGTGTGGACACGAGATGAGGTAAAGCAGCAGCAAAACACTGGAACTCCTCCTGTCGGTCCTCAAGGACGTCCGTGCTAAGAGCACACTCACCCCCGACGGACGGAGGTCAGACAGACGCAGACGCTGACTCAGCAACAAGACTAGTGGCGTAATCTAGACGACAGTGAGCAGCGAAGTCAACAAGCTCGGCAACTAAGGCAGACGCAGCAGTGGACTCAAAGGAAGAGCCAGTGACAACAGTGGCTAGGAAACGCGTGACAGTAGGACTGGCAGCACGAAGGGAGTCAGACGCCGGGTCAGCAAGAGCAGGAAGAGAGGACTCTGGAGGAGACGGCAAAGGGACACGCTGTGGCGCAGTGGAAGGACGCAGTGTCATCTGATGCGTACCCGGGACTGCAGGAGGACGCAGACGTGGAACACGACGACTAGTGCGAGCAGTGCAAACAGGCGACGCAGGACGTGACTCAGGGGCACGACGCTCAGCAAGACCTCCAGTAGGACCAGAGTAGGGAGAAGGAGCAGGCAGAGGGGAGACCAGCTGTAACTGTGACTCGGACTGGACAGGCGGAGGACACTCTAAGGAAGGAGCAGGACTAGGAGAAGGCGGAAGACCAAGAACCTGCTCAAGGAGCGGAACGAAGTACGGCCGCGGCCGCGCAGCACCTCCAGAACCAGCAGGGACAACACCAGTACCCCCAGCGTCAGCTCCAACTCCAGCAGCACCACCAGCTCCAGTACCTCCAGCAGCTCCAGCTCCAGCAGGACCACCAGCTCCAGCTCCACCAGTAGCTCCAGCACCAGGAGCACCACCAGGCCCAGCAGCTCCAGTACCTCCAGTACGAGCACCTCCGGGACCCGTGGCTCCAGCACCCCCAGCAGAAGCAGAACCTCCAGTACCGGCTCCAGCAGCACCTCCAGCTCCAGAACCTCCAGCAGCAGCAGAACCTCCAGCTCCAGCAGCACGACTCCAGCGGCAAGCAAACCACTCGCGCAGCTCCTGTGGAGAGGGAAGCTCCCGCCGGGACAAAGCACCCGAAGGACCGCCAGGTCCAGCACCGACAGGCTCCACACCCCCACTCCCAGCAGCCCCAGGCTCAGTACCCCCAGAAGCAGCACCCCCAGGCCCCGCACGCTCAGGCTCAGCACCCCCAGACCCAGCACCCCCAGGCTCCGCACGCGCAGGCTCAGCACCCCCAGACCCAGCACCCCCAGGCTCCGCACGCTCAGGCTCAGCACCCCGAGACCCAGCACCCCCAGGCTCCGCACGCTCAGGCTCAGCACCCCCAGACGCACCAGAGTCAGCAGCTACCTCGACAGGCTCGACTGCATCTACCTGGGACACACCTGAGGGGGCAGGACCCTGAGGGGGGAGGGGG